CTTTGCTGGCTGAGGAACTCTGGGAGTTGAAGTCCACAAGTCTTAAAATGGCCAAGGTTGGACACCCCTGACTTAAACCATGGGGAAAAATACAAACCCAAATACAAAAGGAATGTCAGATCAGCAGATTGGGTAGATTCTCGTTCGGGTTCCAAGGGGTCTTCCCGCAGCCCTCGTTCTAGTCTAGGGCTCCCAGTGAAGATTGATTTGGGAGGAGGCCCCGGTTTGGGAGAACCTGCTTCCAAATGAATCCACGCGCAGAATCAGGCTCCTCTGGGCATAACAGCCGTGGACGGGAGGAACGCTGAGCCTCCCTTCTCTGGGCTCTGCGGGGCACCACCCCAAACCCTGCTGGCTCGCCCAAAGGACCCCGTGCCCCCCCAAAATAACATAGCAGCCACCGCATCAAAAGCTCTCGGCCTTCGTGGAGGGCAGATCCCTCCAGTGCAAGGTGTAAAAGGCCCAGGGTTCAGGGACGTAGATGATGCCGGGGTATTTGTTCCGGAGGATCCGGTCGTTCCAGAGCCAGCCGATCCAGAGGGCCACCAGCCCCAGTGCCAGGAGGAAGGAGTAAAAGAGGAAGCGGCCGTTGCTGTCCATGACGAGGCCCTTCCGCCTCTGGTGCATCACCAGGGCCACCAGGGCGAAGGTGGTGAAGATGAAGAGGGTGAAGATCTGGCCCTCCGTCACCAGGTACCTGCAAGAGGGAGGGAGCCCAGGACGAGGTCAAGGTGAGCTTCTCAAGCAGGAAGAAGGAGCAGATGCCTCCCAGAAGGGAAGGGGGGGGGGGTCTGCATGTGGGGGCGGGCAGACCTCATACTGAAGGCATAGTCTAATTTGACACTCTCGTCCCACGTCCTTTCTTCACCTGTACCAGGGGCCTCCAAACTTGGCCATTTTAAGACTGGTGGACTTCAACTCCCAGAATTATCCCCAGCCAGCATAGCTTGCTCTCTTGTAATCCCTTCCTCTGCAATCTCTCTCTCCACTTTCGGAGGTCAAGAGAAAAAAGAAACAGATACGGCTGGCTGGGGAATTCTGGGAGTTGAAGTCCACCAGTCTTCAAGCTGCCAAGTTTGGGGGACCCCTGACTTATACAGTACTCCTGGACTTAGGACCACAATGGAGCCCAAAATTTCAGCTGCTAATGAGACATTTGTTAGGTGAGCTTTGTCCCATTTTATGACCTTTCTTGCTGCAGTTGTTAAGTGAATCACTGTAGTTGTTGTTGTGATCCGCCAGCATCCTGCGGAGACGGCAGCAGAGTCAGACAGTGGGGAGGAACATGGGCCAGGCTGGGGGTCTGGGGAGGACTTGGACGAGGGTCCTGCATCCAATGCAGAGATGGGGCCAGGGCCATCTGAGAGTGGGGTGCTGATTCTGGGGTGCCTCCGGAGTCTGGCAGCAGCAAGGCAGAGGAGCAAGGGGAGCCTGTTCCCAGTGAACATGTGCGCAGAGCTACTAGAAGACAAGAGCAGCTGAGACAAAAGGGGAGACTTGGGAGTTAAGGCTGAGAGGTGATTGCCCCTCCCCTAAGGTATAAAGGACAGGCAAAGGTAGAGAAACCTTTGCAGGAAGCAAAGTCGTTCGCTCTGTTCAGATTAAACCTTGAAGCTCTGTGTGGACTTTGTACTTCAGTTGGGTTTTTACAGTTCATTTGGCGCTTTGGTTGTTGGCAGCAATTCAAAGGAGAGAAAGGTGGGTGCTTATTTTGAGGGACTGTTTGGGACTCATTGCATACAGGCTGGGAATGAACATAATTCCCAGCGTTGAAATAAAAAGAGGGTAGTTTGGACTAAGTGTGTGCTTAATTACAGTCTCAGGAAGCCTTGGCCAGAACAGTTACGTTAGTAACACGGTTGTGAAATGAATCTGGTTTCCTATTGATTTTGCTGACCAGAAAGCTGCAAAAGGGAATCATCACGTGACCCCAGGGACACTGCAAATACGAACCAGTTGCCAAGTATTTGCACTTTGTTCACGTGACTATGGGGATGCTGCCATGGTCGTAAGTGTGAAAAAAAGATAGCTTTTTCATTCCCGTAGCAACTTTGAACCCGTCACTAAATGAACTATTGTAAGTCGAGAGGACTACCTAAAACTGTTTTCAGCAAGCTTTGGAACAGACCCAGCATAAATATTCTTGGAAGGCTGCAATGAAGAGCTGCAGCAGCAGCTACCAAACTCTACTTCTACCCGCTAAGATGAGCTAGCCAGGGGTCCTGTGGGAAGGAAGCCACCTTTTGGGGAAATGGCTGGTTACAAGAGATGCCAGTGGCTGACTGGCAAGACAAGGGGCCCCTGGGAGACGCCACAGCAGTGATGGTATTCTACCGGTTCGGCCAGGGGTGGGATTCAATTTTTTTAACAACCGGTTCTGTGGGCATGGCTTAGGTGGACGTGGCTTGGTGGTCATGTGACTGGGTGGACATGGCTTGGTGGTCATGTTATTGGCTGGGCGTGGCCAACACAATATCACTCACATCGAGGCACGTATCTCCTCGCCTGGCCTCTCATGACTGTGGGGATGGTGCAACAGTCGTAAGCGTGAAAAATGGTCATAAGTCACTTTTTACAGTGCCATTGTAACTTTGAATGGTCACTCCACACAAGCAAAGTACCAGCAAAGGAGGGGGAAAAAAACTCCAGAGAGGTTCCTGAGACAGGAAGTCTAGTCCTGCCAAGAATGTAATAAGGGTTAACGGAGAGGCAGTTTCTGTAAGCAACACCAGAATGTTTCCTTCCTGCCTTCCTTACAGGATTAGCCCCAGGAATTTCTTCTAACAACCGGTTCTCCAAACTGCTTAGGATGTTAACAACCGGTTCTAGCGAAGAGGTGCGAACCGGTAGAATCCCACCCCTCGCTTTGGCCCAGTTCCGCTGAGCCGGTAGCGGTGAGGAGCAGCAGAGACCAAAACGGTTCTCTCCGCCTCTCTGCTGTCGGGCTTCCCTACTCACCTTTATCCTCTGCTTTTGAAGCGCAGCTGCTTTGCACGGCACAGCCGAGCGCTGTAGCTGCTGAAGCGACCGGGAGGGTGCAGGATTGCAGGAGGTGAGTTGGAACACCTTCGCGCCTGTGCAAAGCGTGCCCACTAAGCCACGCCCACCGAACCGGTGGTAAAACTTTTTGAATCCCACCACCGCCCCACAGATACCAGTGTGACAAAAGGAAACAGAGAGCAGGCATCCATCCTGCCCCCCCCCCCCCCCCCTCCCCCCCCCCCCCAGGATGAGTTTTAAAGTTTGCAACGGGAAAGAAACGGAACCAGAGTTTGAAACGCTCTCCATGGATCAGTTTGGCAGGGTTCCCCTTTTCCCACCCCCACTTTGCCCCACCCGATAAAGGATCGCTAACTAGAATTGACCGATCCTTCTCTGAACAGTTTACAAGGCAAGAGACTGGGCCGTGGTTTATCGGACTATTTTGCAAATTCCACCTTGGAAAGTCCGTTCAAATATTCAGCCTAGATTTGAAATACATTTGAACAAGACAACCCAAGTGGAACTGACATTGTTTCCAATCTTTATGAAGGAAGAAGAAGTGGACTCAAGAAACTACAGAGCCATTCGTTGGAAACCGATGCCTGGGAAAATCCTAGAAAACGTCCTCAAACAGTGAACTTCCCAATACTTAGAAAGGAATAGGATTACTCGTGGCCAGCAAGGGGTTCATTAAAAATGGATTGTGCCCCACTAATCTGATTTTTTTAAAACGAAGGGACTAGACCAGGGGTGTCCAACCTTGGCAACTTTAAGACTTGTGGACTTCAACTCCCAGAATTCCTCAGCCAGCTTTGTGGAGTTGAAGTCCACAAGTCTTAAAGTTGCCAAGGTTGGACACCCCTGGACTAGACTGTAAGCTACAGAAATGCTGTGGATGTAACATACTGAGATTGTGGAAGAAGTCAGTCCATGGCACGACAGAGGAGATACCTCTAATAGCATTAATCCATGACTCCGTTTTGGGTGCAGCTCCGTACTACGCCAATCTTGTGAACCTGCACTTCCATTTCTTGAGTCTCTATTTGGAATGGACCACCAACTGCTTCCCCACCGGAGCAGCTGCATTAAGAGTTAGAAAATAGCTAGCTGGACATGTTGGCCCTCCGTTTTTTTTGGACATTTGCCTGGAAAAAAGGAATCCCAGGAGCCAAACCCTTTTCGTGGCATTTGACCCTTCCGGGGACTCCAGAAAATAACTACTTGAAACTTAAAAGATTAGTCCTGGTGCAAGGAACAGTTGCAGAAACTGGGTGGGGGGGAGTCTAATAAAGAGAAGAGCCAGGGGTGACTTCTTCTAATATTTGAGGGACTGTCACCGAGAAGTGGTTGACCTATAATTCGAAGCACCCGAGGGTACAATAAGAAGTAACAGATGGAAGATTACCAGAGAGATCCAACCTAGAACTAAGGATAAATTTCCTGTGACCGTGTTTTCCCGAAAATAAGCCCTAGATTAGTTTTTACACATGCACCTAACGTAAGAACCATTAATTAACGGAACAGCTTGCCTCCAGAAGTTGTGGGGGCTCCATCACTGGAGGTTTTTAAGAAAATATTGGACAGCTGTTTGTCCAGACTGGCCTAAGGGTCTCCTTCTTGAGCCACTGATTGGACTAGAAAACCTCCAAGGCCCCTTCCAGCTATTATTCTATGTTCCGCTTGGGATATTCAGACGCCAGCCGAGACACCAACTGTCTCACATGCAGATACACCTGGCTTGGTTTGGTTGCCTTCTCGTGTCACCTGGGCTCACTTACCAGTAATAGAGGCTGCTGGGCCCAATGAGGAGTAAAGCAGCCACAGGGATTCTCGGCTGTTGTTCTTTGCAGGGTATGAAGCAGCCAGAAAAATATATGCACAGAATGAGAAAGAAGGGGATGTACCTGTGAAGAGAACAACATTGCAAGAGGTTGTGAGGGATAAAGTGGAAAAGGGCCTCCTGGTGTTTTTAACACCTCGTTTCGGTTCCTCCGGCTTGGCCAAAGTGGACAAAGTAGCTGTTTAATGGCCTGAAGAGACAGTTTTGAGAACCTGGAAGTCCTCACCCTCTTTTGACCTAATAAAAATACTTGATGCCTCAGTGCCTACATCCTTGAGTATCTAGTGTTCTTATCAGTGTAACCAAGCGGTGAGAGAGCCCTATCTTCTTCCCTTCGCCCTCAGAAATACCCGGCCACTTTGACTGGACATTTAAGCCAGAACAGGAATCCTGCCAGCCTACAGTAATCATAAACCCTGTTCTCACTTGTAAGAAGAGAGCCCCTTTCGTCTTCGGTGGCCAAAAAAATAATCCAGAGAAGCGTAGGAGCGCCTTTTCTGACCCGCCCCTTTTATATTCCAAGACATATGACTTGGGATGAAATGTGCTGGTCAGAAAAGGCACGGACGCCAAGATTTTTCAATCTTACCAGCTGGAAGATGTATGGACTTCCATTCCCAGAATCCCCTAGCCAGCAGAGCTGACTAGGGAATCCTTGGGAGTCAAAATTCACACGTTGTCAAATCTGCCATCTTGGCTGACACCCTTCCATAAATTGTTGAGGGGAAGGGGGGAGGGGAAGTGAGCAATTGGCGTATAGAAGGTAGAGATGAGCAAGGTGTGTGTGTGTGTGTGTGTGTGTGTGTGTGTGTGTGTGTGTGAGAGAGAGAGAGAGAGAGAGAGAGAGAGAGAGAGAGAGAGAGAGAGAAAACTGGCCGATTCCAGCCTTCAAGGCCGCAGAGCCTGGGAAAGGAATGGGAATTGCATTGAGTGGCATGGAATATCCAAGCGGTTCCCAAAACACCTGTATGGAACGCCACTGGACGAAGACGGATCGTTGAAGAGAGGAGGGGCAGGGAGAAGGGGGAAATGCCGTAACATTTCATGCTGGAACTTTTAGCCTTGCCTTGTTCCGTTTGCAGCCACTAATCCTCGGTCAAAGAACCTATCACTTCAACCAAGTGGAGTTGAGGGTCTTTCTTTACTAGGGACCTAGCTGGGGCAAGACTGACACACAGCTTCGAGCCGCTAAGGTTGAGAAACGTTGCGCTAACGGATTCCTCCCGATTCTTAGCCACTTTTTTTTCAGTTCTGTATTCTATCATCTTTGGCGGCTGACCGGTTTCCACAGACAAGAAGAAGATCCTGTGGCTTTAAGGCCCTGACCCATTAAAATGAACAGGGTTCTTAAAGCTGCAGCAGCACCTTTTCCTTGGGGTCACGTGGAGAGCTGGAAGCAGAGGGGCCGCTTTGGTGAGTCACAGAGAACTGGGCTGTGCACGCAAAGCAGGACGGGCTTGCTCCAAATCCTTTTCACAGAATCCACAGTCCTGTTTGGCAAAAGTCCAGGGACTTCTTAATGAAAACAAGGGAAATAACTATGCCAAGAGCTTGGAACACTGATTACCAACCAATAATACGGGGAAATGCAGCAGAAACAGATTTAAGTAAGCAATCCTGCACCAAAAATCCTTGATTTAGGCTTTGATAACTCAATCAAAATGCACTTTTGGTTCGTTGCATCCCCCTCATGGTTCTCACAGCCCACCAGGAGGGCTCAGACAGGTGCAGGCCTACCTGGTGGAAAGTCTCACCTAGCCAGCAGCTCCACAAAGGGGTGAGCAGGGGCAGTAATGCAGGTGTGATCAGATTGATTATTAAAGTTTTTAAGAAGAAACTAGTCACTGGCCTGAAATGTTATAGGGTCTCCTGCTTGAGCAGGGGGTTGGACTAGAAGACCTCCAAGGGCCCTTCCAACTCTATTATTCTAATATTATTCTAATTCTTGGCCAGGTGGCCTAGAGGTGGAGCTCTCACCTCACAATCAGGAGGCTATGAGTTCGATCCTAGGTAGAGGCAGTTATTTCTCTCTCTGGGCACAATGAGAATATTATCTGCTGAACAAAACTCCTCATTGGCGACAGGAAGGGCATCTGGCCATTCAAACACTCTGCTTGCTCCATTCAGTTGCCCAGACTCCACCCCCACAAGGCAGCATGGGGTGGTTAAAGAGGATGATGATTCTAATTCTTGATCCGTTAAAATCTTGTTAGAAAGATGTCAAGTGGTGGGGAACCCGCTGTGGTTTATGATTTGCTTATCTCTATTAATGCATTGATGAAATGTACCTCCAGTCTACCCAAGGAAAGCAGGGGCAGCATCAGGTGGCACAGAATCCACAGAGAGAGAGCGCATTACAACAAATCAGCGGCATGGAAACAATGCAGCCAAGCAGACCAATATTTTCAGGATGCGAAGAAAAGGATCCCGGATTAGATTCCAAGACTTTTGGCTCGGGAACGGCTGGCCCCTTTTGTGACTGTTTTTCCTCTTTGTGTCAGAGTAGGTGTAAGGGTGCATTTTTGTTCTTGGGAAGGGGCTGCATAGTTTCGCCCCGAAGGACGGCTGCGGAATCTTTTTAAGAAGGAAACGAGATGAAGTAACCCTAAAGGAGGTTTAACGCGAGGAGCGGCAAGCCCCACGGGGACTCCAAGGGAGGCACCTGAGCAAATGCTGCCGGCTCTCCCGGTGCCCACCTCTCGTGCCTTCTCAGCCCACGGGACCAGGTGAGGCCACGTTTTTCCCCAGAGCAACAGGGAAAGGGAGCCGGTTCCACACGCAGCCAAGACTCACCACATGGAATGGCCCAGGTGCTCATCGTAATAGTACAGCAGTTCAAAGGAGTCGATCTGGAAAGGAAGGAAAGGGAAGAGTCCAGAGACCGAAGGCATGTGGGCCAGGCAGCCAAGAGCTCTGCTTAGCGTGGCGGTTGTGACAGATAGTCCTCAGCTTATAACCAAAGGAGAGCGAGAGCGAGGGAGGGAGGGACGGAGGGAGGGAGGGACGGAGCCAGACTAGCAGTGTCAGGAGTCACAAGCAGAGCGAGCCAACCTCTCTCACCAGAGTCTCCGGCTTGAGATTTTTGATGATTGGATTCTCTCGGACGGACAGGTGGAGCTGGTAGCCGCTGAAGATCAGCCGGTGATTGACAGAGTCGCCCACCAGGTGGATGCTGGCCCCCATGACGAATACGATGATGCAGAGATACACCATGGACCGGGGAAGAGCCTTGGGAGAGCGCTCCATCAGCTGCACACAAAGCCACCGGGGTCTGAGGCTGGGGAGCAAAGTCAGGCCCCTCCCAGAGCCCCTCAAAAACCTCCTCCCCTTTCCTAAGAGGAATCCAACTCCCGCAGAAGCCGTCAGAAACTGTTCTGGAGGGAAAAGTCTCTGCAGAAGAGGGGGTGCCTCAACCTAAATCCCCCCCCCCCCGCTTGGAGGTAGCGGGATCCCCCCGCCCGGCCCCCCCCGCGCATGGAGGAAGTTCCCTGTGGGCCCCTTTCCCCTTAAAACTAGCGAGACAACCCATTTAGGGGGGCTGCGATGGAGAAGCTGCTGACCCAGGGCTGCCCTAGAGATCACACCAGACCAATTCAGCCCCTCTGCTCTCTTTTGGGCTGTTCCCAAAACATCGGCCTCCAGTGCCACCACGAGGAGTGAGGGACTGACAGCCTTCTCTCTCCTAGTTCTTCCTCCGTGACTCACTCAACCGTCTTTTCAACAGGGGAGAAACTGATTTTCTTGGATTAGTCACGAAGGAGATGAAGGCTGGGAGGATTCTGGGAGTTGACATCCACACATCTTAAAACTTCCCAAGGTTGAGCAACACTGTCCCAGATGACTTTGTGCAGGAAGAATCCAGCAACTATTTTACCTTCAGGAGAATAAAGGGTGTGATGATATTATAGGCCATGTGAAAATAATCCCCCACGCTGGGTCTGTTCAGGGGAAACCACTCCAGGGGAAGCACGATCTGCAGAGGGAGACAAACACACACACACACACACACATAAAGCAAGAAGCCAGATAGGCAGGCTGTGCCACCCCTTCATTATTGGTGGGCTTTCTGCGGCAGATTTTTGTCAAGGTTTTTGTCGACCATAAAGGCCACCTTGGCTTGCCGATATTTTTCTCTGTGTGTTTGTGTGGGCGAGACAGACGGAGGGAGGGAGGCAACGTCAAAAGCCAATGCCAAGAAAAATTAATCTCAGAGCAACGCAAACATCCTAATCCCAAATCTTCTTTGCCAAATGCATTACAGAATATGGAGGAGGATTTGCAAGCGACAAAACAGCTTACACTGAAAAATTAAAGCACCAACCATCCTTACACGCATATCAACCAAGAGACATGTTGACATATTTGTAGAACAGTGTGTAACACACCATCCTGACCTCACACTCAATGCGTATTCAGGGGCTGTACTATTTACCTTCCTGTGAGCACGCATGTCAAGATGAGGATAAAGAGATCAGACTGAAAATTTACTTCCAGGATTTCTTGAAAATAAAGGTGATTCTGGAAGCTTTGTGTCATGTTATGTTCCCTTTCACTTTTCTTTCAAAGTAAAACCATTTTTGTAAACATTTTAAAATGAGAATGGAGCAAACAGCCAGGCTGGACTTTCAAGAGGATCAGCCTTTTCCCTCTGTCACACCGAAGTGCCCCCCCCACAACCATCTTGGGCTCAGCAAAAACCCCTCCCACCATGAACCCGGCTGCCCAGCCAACCGGCCAGCTGCTCTGCTAGCTCTGTCCTGCCTGCAGTCCCTTGTTTTCCCTCCTGGGTTACAGGTGACAAATATACCTTTTCTTTTTATGTACACTGAGAGCACTTGCACCAAGACAAATTCCTTGTGTGTCTAATCACACTTGGCCAATAAAGAATTCTATTCTATTCTATTCTATTCTATTCTATTCTATTCTATTCTATTCTATTCTATTCTATTCTATTCACTGTTTCCTAGTATGATTTGATTGCTTATTGTACCCTGTGACTATTATTGTCATACCTTATGATTCTCGACTCTTGACAAACGTAACTTTTCTTTTATGTACACTGAGAGCATTTGCACCAGGACAAATTCATTGTGTATCCAATCACACTTGGCCAATAAAAGAATTATATTCTGTTCTGTTCTGTTCTGCTCTATTCTACCCTACTTTACTCTACTCTATTCTATTCTTATTGTATCCTATGACTATTATTAAGTGTTGTACTTTATGATTCTTGACTCTAGATGAATGTATTTTTTATGTACACTGAGAGTATTTGCACCAAGACAAATTCCTTGTGTGTCTAATCACACTTGGCCAATAAAGAATTCATTCATTCATTCATTCATTCATTCATTCATTCATTCACAAAACTGAACAGATTTGATGCAATTTGGAGAAAGGCAGAAGAACAAGGGAGAGACGCCATTTCAGTAGCAAGAGCCAAAGTCAACTTCAGCCGGTTTCATTCGTGAGTGGGAGGTGAAGGGCACCTCGGGGTGAGGGGAGGGAAAAAAGAGGCCCATGCAGGAGTGTTTGCAGGCGGGGGCTCCCTTCTGGGGCAGCCCAATTTGCCCGTGACGGCTGAGGAGTTTATGGTCCTGTTGTCACCTGCGGTTAAGAGTCTTAGTGAAAGAATCCCAGTGGGGGAAAGCGCCACAGAACCCCGGGAGCAGAGAGCTCGCAAGGCTGCCCGAACCCCAAATGCTAAAGCCAGGATGCAGCCAGGCCTCCAACTTACGACCGCAATTGAGCCCAACATTTACGTTCTTTAGCAAGACATTTGCTAAGTCAAGGGTCTTCAAACCTGGCAACTTTAAGGCTTGTGGGACTTCAACTCCCAGCATTCCTGAGCTAACATGACTGGAGGAGGAATTCTGGGAGTTGAAGTCCCACAAGCCTTAAAGACGTCAAGTTTGAAGACTTCTGGGTTAAGTGAATTTTGTCCCATTTTACAATCTGTCTTGCCACAGTTGTTAAGCGAATCGTTGCAGTTTTTAAATTAGTAAAACAGTTGTTAAGCGAATACGGCTTCCCCATTGGGATTCTGACTTTGCTTGTCAGAAAGTTGCAAAAACTGATTATCAACTAAAAAAATACTCCTTTGGTCTTTTTAGTTGCCAGCAGAAAGGGAGCCGGGGGAAGGCAATGCATTCCTTACATGCTTCAGATCATTGCTAGGCAGCCGAAGCTTCTGGCGTGCAAGATTAGCATGATTGATGAATCTTGGCTATGGAGGTGTCCCATTGGAGAATATACATCCAGGGGGTGGGGGGGAAGACCAGGGTCAAGGGGGAAATGAATGATGTGTCTTAAAGTCGGCTACACCCAGGTAACGCTGAAATGGTCACTCCTAATAAATCTTTTTTTTTTTTTTTTTACTCTGAGAAATGTGGCTAGAGACTTATGATTTGAATGGGGGTGATTTGTCAGAGCCTTGACACTGATCACATGATACACCCACCCACCCCGGACACTGCAACCGTCATAAATATGAAACTGCTAAGCGTCTGGATTTTGATCACACCAGTCACTTTTTTCAGTGCCGTTGTAATCTTTGGAGGGTCACTAAATGAACTGTTATAAGTCAAGGACTACCTGTATTTGGGAAGGAACCTTCATTTTTCTGTCCCGGTGCATCTTCACCTCAATTCCTCTACATCCTCTGAACCCTTAACGTCAATCGACCTCATCCCCGGGGTACTCACCATGGCAATGGGCCGGCCAAAGTCCAGGACCCAGTTTTGCAGAGTGAAATAAAACCACAAATCAAAATGGAAGCACGAATCCCTGCAAACATCATCCTTGAGGATCGCTCCATGCCTGGGAGTGAAAGCGGGAAGGCAAGGGATGTAAGTCAGGCCAACCAACACAAACACACACAGACACAAAGCGAGGAAAAGGTATCTTTTTCTACCACCCTCCCTGTTGAAGGTGGCATAGCAGCTGTCTCCACACTTGTTTGAGCCATAATTTCAGTTGATCTCTGTGAACTGCATCTTGGGCTGGCTTGGTGCATCCCAGAATGCAGGCGCACTAAACCTTTGGCTGCCACAGAGTCATCTGTCCTTAGCAGTTTCGGCAGGGTTTTAAAAAAAAAATCGAAACAGCAGCCATGGTTGTGTGATCAAAGCTCCAGCTGTTTTTATGCGCATCATGTCAAAACAGCTTTATTTTCAACTCATGAAATATTTCTATGGTCTTTTTAGAGTTGCCAACAGAAAGGGAGGGGGAGCAGTGCGGCAGCTTGCAAACCGAAAGTGCATTCCATAAATGTTTTCAAAGATAAGTAACTAGGTGACTGAAGTTTCTGCCGGGCAAAATTCTAACTGGAGAGCATGATTGATGACTCTTGGCTATGAATGTGTCCCATTGGAGAATATGAATTACGATACACCCAGGGGGTGGGGGGGAAACCAGGGTCAAGGGTGACAGTGAATGACATGTCTCAGAGTCGGCTACACCCAGACAGTGCCGGACATGTTAAACTCCCCATAAATCCTTTTGAAGTTTTGGAAGTTTGGCTCAAGACTCATGATTTAAATTGGGGTCACTGCCGGAATCCTGGCACATATCTTGTTTTCATTTAATCATAGATTATGGTGACATCCCTGCCTGACCCCAAGATGCCACAAGGATTGAGGGGGGGGGGGAGGGAATCCATTAAGTCAAGACTCCTCTTTGCCTCAAAAAATTCGCTGCTGCTCATGGCCATTTTAATGCTTCTTGGATGTCTGATTTTTCTTCTAAAGACACAGATTGCTTTCCTTCCCCCCCAAATTAGCCCGTTTTCATGACTTTAAATCCAGAATGTCTAACGTAAGATGGTTAAAAAAAGAAGTCAGCCTGGGCTGCGCCCTTTCAGAATTGTCAGCTCTACCATTGTAAATCAATCAACCTTTACTGTCAGAGTACAACCCGTGTGCGATGAAATTGGCTGAGCCTCCCTTTGTGCACCCCTCCCCAGCACAACTCACAATGAAGACAGAATATACATTGGGGGCAGGGGTTGGACTACATGACCTATACAAGGCCCCTTCCAACTCTGTGAAATGCTTCAGCCCGCTTCGCTTTCACTGGCATTCCGCATGCCTAAAATGCAGGAAGGGAAGAGAATGGGACGGATGATGATGACAGGAACCAGAGGTGCCAATCCAGGGCAGATTGGAAAGGAATGCAAAATGCCACCAAACCTTAGCTCAGGGCTCTCCAAACTTGGCCACTTTAAGACGGGTGGACTTCAACTCCCAGAACTGTCCAGCCTGCTATGTTGGGAGTTGAAGTCCACCCGTCTTAAAGTGGCCAAGTTTGGAGACCTCTGACTTAGAGCATGGAGTGAAGTTTAATAATTGCGTTTTATTTTTGAACACTTTTTAGCCCTCCAGTTCTCTAAAAATAGGAACCCAGAGCTTCTTTCCAAGCTCAACAAGTTCCTCCTGTCCTCTTCACTTTCCTTCAGAAACGCCGCTTTGCCTCTCCTTTTGTCTCTAGATACAGAACAAATCATCTTCTTCATTCCATTTGCTCATCTACACTTCCCTGCCCCCCTTTTTTTAGAAAGGAAAGTTTTAGCAAATGTTGAGGCAAGTTTACACTGGCAACAAAGCAGTAAAAACGAGGATAATGAGGAAAACAACATGCAGTATCATAGCTAGAGGCCAGTTTGCTTTCATCAGCAACCAGCGTATAATAAAACCATCTCCAAACCTTGTCATTTATCCTCGTGCCGTGGGCATATATAAATAGCCGGCTGGAGAATTCTGGGAGTCGAAGCCCACCAGTCTTAAAGTGGCCAAGTTTGGGGGAGCCCTGCCCGAGCCAAAAAACCCCATTTGAACCCCTCATGGACTGGCCGGAGGGACGGCCTGGGACAAGGGGAAAAGGCAGGCTTGGGGAGGGCCATCACTGGAAGCTTTCAAGAAGAGACTGGACTCCCATCTGTCAGAAATGGTGCACGGCAAGGGCCTTCAAACTTGGCAAGTGTTAAGACTTACAGACTTCAACTCCCAGAATTCCTGAGCTAACATGACTGGAGGAGGAATTCTGGGAGTTGAAGTCCACAAGTCTTAAAGTTGTCAAGTTTGAAGACCCCTGGTAGGGTCTCCTGCTTCGGCAGGGGGGGTTGGACTAGATGACCTTCAATGTCCCTCCCAACTCTGATTATCTGTTTAATCTGCTCTGCCGGGAATATTCAAGAGGCGCTTCAGCCTCCAGGAAGGGCGAGAGAGCCCGCAGTCCGGGCGTCGCGGGGGGGAAGGAAGCCCCTTTCGGAGTTTCCTCAACCTCAGGGCGCGAGAGACTTCAACTCCCAGCATTCCCAGCCAGCAGGCGCCACATTCCCAGTGGCTGGGAGTTGTAGTCCGGCCACCCCTGGAAAGGGACCGAGAAAAACCGAGCCCCAAAACCGGCTCCGGCCTGGAGGGGCTTCCTCTGCGGGCCCCGCCGAGAAGGCGAACCGCAACCGCCCCCCTCCCCGCTTCCCTTCCGGGGGCAGCAAGAGGGTCTCGGGGCGTCGGGCGAGACCGGCCGGGCCGGGCCAGGGGTAGCCAAGGCAGCGGGTCTCGCCGGCATTCGGGCCCCGCAGCGACCCTCGCGGGCGGCTCCGAAGGGGCCCCTCGCTGCCCCCTCAGGCTGGGCTGTCGCGACCCTTCGGCCCGGGAAGCAGCTCTCACCCGCCCGCCCTCCCACGGGGGGCTGCTCGGCGGCCGTGGGCAAGAGCCGGGGCCGGGAGGGGATCCCGGGGGTGGGGAGGGGAAGGACGGAGCACCTGCGGCCGCCCGGGTGGCGCCTCCTCAGGGACGCCGGGAGTCGCGCGGCGGCGGCGGCGGGAGTCTCCCTTCCTGCGGGGCTGCGGTCGCCGTTCATGGCAGCCGCCGGTTGGAAGCCGCCATGCGGGCAGAGACGCTAGTCCGGCGGCGGGGCGGGCTTGGGCGGCCCCGGCTTGGCGGAAGGTCTGCTGCCCCCTCTGGCCGCCCGGCCCCGGCTCAGCCCCGGCGGCGGCGGCCGGCCAACGCAGCGCCGTCCCTGCCGCGCCGGACCCCGCCCGCTCGCCCCAGGGGCCGCCCAGAGGCCGCTCCGTCGGGCGGCTGCCAAACTCCGGACGGACGTTTTGTTGGGCCGGGGAGGAGCCGGGTGGCTCTCCTGAGTTCGGTGCCCGTCCCGGGGAATAGAGCGCCGGCCGAGCTTTCGGGAAAGGCGAGCCCGAGTCGGTCTGAGCAGCCCTGAAGGTCCCCCCCACGAACGGCGGGCGGGCTGATCCAGCTTCCCCGGCTGCGGATCGGCTCAGCCCGGCCTCGGCTGGGAGCAAATGGCTTGGAGACATGGGGCTCTGTGGCTGAACCTCAGCGGAACGGAAGACGCTCCTCGGGGAAGGGCGAGAGAGGCCGGAGAGATTTAGAGATATAGAGATGGATGGATGGATGGATGGATAGGTAGGTAG